TAGTTGTCAATAAAAAAATATTAAAATACTGATTGAGAAAATGGTCATGTGTATTATGTGCACTTCCTATATTCAACCTCATTTTATATAAAAATAAATAAAAATCAAACCCTTTTCTTAGCCCCATTAAAACTCAATTCTTTTACATCTGCTAACCTTGCCTAAATGTTTTTAAGGATTTGTGGGAAGTATGTAAACAGTTACTTTGTATGGATTTCTGAAAACTATCCTCTCTCTAATATGAAATATTCAGCAGGATTTCCACAACCCTTCCAAAAAGACTAAATAAATATTAACCTTTCCATAAAGTTTAAATATTAACCCTTCCATAAAGACCAAATAAATATTAACCCTTCCATAAAGTTTAAATATTAACCCTTCCAAAAAGACTAAATATTAACCCTTCAAATTCTATAAAAGGGAGACTAGCTTTTGTTTGCTAAATTGCTTCACCGTTTTGATCAACTGAAATATAAAATGATCCCTTATGGTGACATCATGACATTTAAGTTTTAGGTTGCACATGAGATCACACCCCACCCCTCCCCCACCCCGACATTAAAGCTTTAGTTTAAATTTACAATATAGTAAAACAATAGCTTTAAAACAATTACTGGCCTCATCTGGGCAATACAAATTACAAACCAGAAAAGAAAAAAAACCACCATTAAAAATCAAGTGAAAACAAATTTCACACTCATAACAATGTTTCTGGTGCATCTGATAATGTTTCATAAGGATAAACAAGGTTCTTTTTAAAACATACAAAGTAAGTGAACTGCATATCGGATTAATGAGTAATACTTGGGGCAGGAGAGATTAGTGGGATTTTATAAATTGCAAATATCAAAACTTTATTGGTGCTCAGGGTTTCCCAACCGTTTCTAAATTCTGGGCCCCCCTTGTGAACTGTTTGACATAGTCTCGCACTCCCTACCAACTGTTTGCATAGGTCTTGCACCCCTACAAACTGTTTGCCCCTGCAAAAATAACAATTTTAACAATGCATTTTAAAAATTGAACCTTAAAAAAATGGACTTTTAATTATTTTTACTGAATTGCAAAGAGGACAGTAGAACTTCCAATATAAACTGGTTAATTATTATATACAATAAAATGTTAATGAAAAATTTTTTAAAAACATATGAACATCAGGCACTGGAACAAGCTTTCAAATGGAACAGTTGAGCCGACAACACTAGACACATTTGTGTCTATTGCCTCAAGCCTTCTAACACCCAATGCATGATTCCCTCACAAAGTAGCACTTGTAATCATTGAAATATCCTCATCAACACCAGGCACAGAAACATTGCAAATCCCCTCTACGTGCATAGGAGCCAAAATGATCAATAAATTGATTGTGGGCCCTTAATTTATAAAAGAATAATATTTCTATCACAAATTTCAAGTCAATGGCCTCTGCTCTTATAAACACATTACACCAACCCCACCCCCTAAAAAAAAAACATCTTGCTGCTTGGGAAACCATCTGTCAGGTTGGGAAACCCTGGTTTAATGATATCAGCTGTTTCCGTTTTCCCTGATGTTGCCAGAGGGGCCTTATATACTTATATATAAACAATGGCAACAAAAAAATTCTTATTTTGTATTCTGGCCAAATACAGCATGCACCATATGTATGAAAATTCAGCATCTTTAAAGTTTGTGCACAGTTCCAGCCGTAACATCTTCCTATTAGTGGAAGGCAAGATTTGTTGTGCAGTTATTGCTGGAAATGGGTCCCTTGGGGGAGGAACAAGTATTCATAGTTGAGCATTATTTTCGTCCATACTACTTAAGTGTTCATGAAGCGGGCCGAAATAAAGTGGCAGAACCATTCCAAGAGAGATTTAATAAGATGGCACCAAGTCGGCTGTCAACTTTTACAAAATTTCCTCATTCCGGAAGTGTACCGTGTCAACAGAAGGTGAAGTCTTGTTGACCAGCCAGTGTTTTTTATTAATGAGAATCATACACTTGGTCTCTAGTATGTACTGCCTCCTCCTCTACAAGGTCTATGACAATCATCCTCAAAACTGAACATCAGCAATTCATCCATTCACTGATTGTTTGAAGTACATAGGTGGATTTTTTTATAGCTTGGACAACACTTGACAGAGTCGGAAATGCAAGAGAGGATGATATGGAGCATATATGGCTATGCAGAAACGAGGACCCAGATTTGTATAGGAATGTGTGGTTTTCTGACTGATCCACCAGACTTCCCCTTCATAGTTGGGTAGCTAGGGTTGGTGCCTCTAGGGGTGGGCCAAGCTTTTTGCCGACCCCCTTCAACAAAAATGCTGCCCCTTGATATAAGGAACAAAAATAGCTGCCCCCTCAATTTAGGTTACTGCCCCTTCCGTTCACTGAGTATCTTTCAATTATGGTGCCTTCTTTTATTCTTTTTTTTCCTTTCCTGTAAGTGTTCTGCAACAATTTCAAACTCAGTCCTGTTCACAACCACTTACATATAAGGGAAAAGATGGTCAACTATGAATACTATTTCCTCCGTCAAGAGGCCCATTTCCAACAACTATTGCCCAAAATATTTTCATTTTCTTTGCTGGGAACATGTGGCAGCTGGTACTAGGCACAGCTGACTAACGCACAAATGCAACAAAAGAGTCTATCATTACCCTACTTGTTTTCCTCTGTTATGTCCCTTGGATGCAGCGCACACAAAAACAAAAAGTAGGAAGCAAAAATATCTGAAAGCTTTTATGAAAAAGGGAAAGCACACCTTTGTTAGTAATATCCCCAGCGATGCTTAACATTTGAAAAAAAAAATGAAAAAAAATCAGCCTGTAACTTATACAATATAATAAATATCACCACTGGTTGAGTTTTAAACAAACAACTTTGTCACCCTGACTTCATACGTGTTACTCCGATTTGTTTAAAAAATGAGTAATTTCAAATTTATTAAAGACCTAGGGCTTCTCAAAGTCCTCTGATAATATTTTTAAAATTAATTTAGTTGTTAGTGTTATTTTTCTCACATGATCTAACCCAATGTTTTAAAAATGTTTGTCTAGTTTCATTGGGTTCATAGTGTCTCCTGAAAAAATTTGGAAGACATGACTGACATGTTTAGGGAGTTTCAGTGACACTATATTAAGTTACGTTATATACATATATATTTATAGTTTATAGCATTTGAATGTCAAAAATAAAATATAAATGAATACATAAATATTTAAATATATATATAGATATTTATATATAATGAATACATAAATATATATATACTGGCCCCCGTGGCACTTCATGGATCCACTACAACCCCCATCCACCACTGCCCCTTTCCATACATATATATATATATTATATATAGTTTAGAAACATCAATGTTTGATTATCATAATACCCGGACAGGAGGCCACACATATCCACTTTGATGACTTCTGAAACAAGTCTAAAACTGAACTCTTTTTGCAATGTAAGTCAAATTGGACATAAACAACTTCATTATCAAGTATACTAATTTGGTTTTAACTTCCTGTTGTAAATATTACACAAGGTCATAAAAATAAAATTCAAATTCAACCAAAGAACAATGTGGACAAGTGTGGGAGAAAAACACATTGTTACGGTCTACTAAATGCTATCATACAATATAAAATTCAAATACTGTATAAAACAATTTTAAAAAAAACATACAAATTAAAATTGATCATCACATTTGAAGTTGAGCATTTTTTTCTCCATTTTAAAAGTTTCTTCACAAAAATATTCATTGTTAAAAACAGCTTCCATACTATTATTAGTTTTTTTATTGTTTCTATTGTTTTCGCAGTGCAAATGGAATTTTTATTTTGGCTTTACAAGATGAAGTGTTGTTTTGAAAATGATGCAGCTGAATGTGGCAATTGTACCAGTTTACCAGTGCAAGGAAAATATTTCTTTAATAATATATAACAGGGGATCTTAACCTTGGGACAAGATGGCTACAGTCACCATTAGATGGTGTTGGGGAATGAGGGGAAATAGTTCAAATTTCTTCCCTATCCTCAAAAATTTAATTTTCGAGGGGTTAATGTTCCCCAAAGGGATATTTAGATTGATCAGACGTGGAGCCTACAGTACAATTAAGGTTTTTAATTATTTATTTTTTGCAACAGGTAGGAAACATATGTATTTTTATTATTTTAAAAAAAAAATTTAAAAATTTTTTTTATTTTATTTACAAATTAATTATTTTTGAATATGTTTTTATGGTTAAAAAAAAAAAAAAAAAAAAAAATGGCAACAAAATAGTCACTGAACCATTTCAATAAGACAATCTATAATACTTTACCCCAAGACATTTTCCTTTTTGATAACATAAGTTGACAATTTTTTTTTATTGATATTTTTAAGCATAATATTTTGGCTCAAGTATATTTTTCCTTACTACAACATTTTGACATAATATTACAGAGATACGTTTAGTTACTATCTTGTATAATTCATGTATCTTCTCAGAAATTGTTATAATACTGTCAACAAATAAAAGAAAAGAATCTGTCCTACCAACAAGAAAAATACCCATGTCTTGAAATTCAGATTCCTTAAATTCAAAAGATCAGGTAATAATTTCTTCATGCACCTCCGTCTACAGCCACTGATATTCACACAACAACAATCAAACAACAAATATATATAACATATATATTGCTGAAAGCATGTGGTATTAATATGTACCGTTTGATCTCTCTTTAGTTGGCCAGTTCTGCACAGCAGCTTGGTTCTAAATCAGGACAAGAAAGGAAATTTAATTGGCTGAAATCACATGCTATAAGGATACTTTACAGAAGCATTATTACTTCTATGGTGCAGCAACAGCAATGGCCTACTGGGCGCATAGCAATTATTTTGAATCTTTTCTTGCAGCTAAATAGTTAGAATACTCAATGTTGAAGACTAAGCTACACCTCTAACAATTTACCATACTGGCCCCCGTGGCACTTCATGGATCCACTACAACCCCCATCCACCACTGCCCCTTTCCATCCCTATTGCTCACCTTGTTGTCCAGCCAAGTTAAGCATCTCATCTACAATCTGCCATAGGACAGTCTCCTTGGGGAACTCATTGTCGACCAGGTTCACCAGGTAGTAATTGTCATGTATGTGCTGGAGGACTTCTCTGGATGAGGACTCGGCAGGGTAAAGAGCGGCCCATGTCTCCAACCACAGAGCAAAGGCCTCATCCTGTGTTTCATGTTTTAGAGATATAACACGGTCATGTGGGTTGCTCATAAGAATTGAATACTAATTTATTTGAATTTAAAAATAGTGTGTCTAACCAAACTGCAAACTGTGGGGTGGGTGTCCAGCAATTGTCAAGAACCAGTATCGACTGCGGCTTGGAATGAAATCCAAACTAGTCTTGTCTTTTATCATGTGTTGTCGGCTATAGATTTCTCTTGAAAAGTTTGCATAAGTGCCAAATGCATTATCACACACTGGTCACAAATATATGCTAGCACATGCTTCCTAAGCATTAAAGGGGATTGCACTAAATTGAATTATCAAACTGAGAGTTGCTTTGAAAGTTCTAAAACTAGATTTCAGTTACCATGTGCGATATAACAACACCTTATTAATCTGACACTGCTGTGTGGAACAATTACTTAAGCAAGCATTGTATAAACCGATAACCGGTTTAAAACTGGATTCCTATACTGATAACCAGTTTGCCAAAAAAAATATATATTAACAGCCCTGAACTTAAATTAGAAAAAGTTGAACTATAAAAGAAATATTCCGTATTCACAAAAATAAAAGGACATTTTTTAATATTCTTTTTATAAAGGGGAAACTAACCAATGCAACATTCTTTAATTATAAACAGCCTCTTTTCACTTACCTTCCACGTTTTAAAAGCTTCTGGATCTACCACGGTTGGCTGGACAATTTCCTTGCCAGGGAACACGCCCCATGTCACAGCAATGGGCTGGAACTCATCACAGTTAGTGTAGTCAGCAGCACCCTGTTGTGACAAAGGAGACAGCCCCCTAATATTCAAAACTGATCTTTTTGCAAAATAAAGGTACTGTTTATATTGTTTTGATGAAATGTTATGTTTTAATATGATATTATTTAAATGTTATACATTTAATAGCAAACTGCTCTTAAACTGTTAGACCCCACGAGTCTAAAAAGCTATTTTATCGGCCATTTCAAAGAAAACAATTTTTTTGGAATGAATGAATGCAAATCTCTTGTGATCATTCTATGATATTCATTTGTAATTAAATGAATGATGGTACACCAAACAAATCTGTAAAGGAAAGAAAGTCCCTAGGTTAATTAAGTTTGTAATCCTGGGTACAAAAACTAAGTGATGCTGATGAACTCACTGAATGATTGATGATGTGATAGTTGACAAGAGGATATTTGGGCAGGATCTGCTTCAGGGCGGCCACATTCTCTTTGGATGTGAAAAACTCCAAGTATGCCTAAAAACAAGCAAAGAAAAATTTGTTTAGGGAACAACTAATGAATGACATAAACAGTAGAACAGGGTATGTGGAAGTGGTGAGCGAAAAAAAGTCACTGAAAAAAGTCACAAATTTTGTTAGGAAAAAAAGTCACAGGAAATAAAGTCACAAGAAAAAAAGTCACAGGAAATAAAGTCACAAGAAAAAAAGTCACAGGAAATAAAGTCACAGGAAATAAAGTCACAGAAGCATTCAGCCATCAGATATTATAAATAAATTCTGACAAGAGTTGTGGGATCACGTTTCCCAATCCAACTGGGATCCCGACCCCGTGTGGTTACCGATCACGATTGAGAACCCAATCGAGATCTCGTTTCCAAAGCGGATCCCATTGGGATCCTGACTTCGATTGGGATCCCATTTGGATCCCGACCTCATTGGGATCCTGAACCAGATTGGGATCCTGTTTCCAAATGGGATCCCAATGGGGTTTCTCACCACATTGGGATCCCGACCCCTTTGAGATCCCAATCTCGTTTGTGATCAGTACATATTTGTTCAAAGTTGAAAATTGTTTTTTAATTCTCATATTGATGCAAAATTGCATAGCTTTATAGACTATATGTAAAGTTCATAGTCTGAAATATATTTATTTCATTATCCCTGCAGAAAGACATGATTTTTTTGTTTAAGTTTCCTATAGTGTGCTGGTTACATTAACTGATTAGCTACCAGATTGAAAAACCGGCTGTTGCCGAATTAAATCTAGGTCATGTTGACAACGATACAAACGTTGGCGTTACCAGCGGCTCGTGGCCATAACAAAAGAAACGCCCTGCCGCTCCCATCGGCTTATGGTAGTTAACCAGTTAAAGTAAAATTTAATCACCAATTGATAGGAAACATTTTTATTAACTCCGAGGAGCCCCAAAGGGGTAAAATACAAGGACTCACAGCAATTCTTAAGGTATGTACTTCAAAATACAAAACTTAAACAGTAAAAACAACCATGACAATTGAAATTTTCACCTTTTGGTAAATATACCCATTTGGACTTCCCCATCCAACAATTGGGTCTGTGGATGGCACACAGTTGACCCGAGGTTGAGAGTTTATTGTGAGGACACCTTGTCTGTTGACACATGCCAGCTTGTCTGAGATTAACGAGGTCTCTGAAACAATTTCATCATCATCCCATGGTATTCTTTTTACCTAACAATTATGGAATTGAAGGGCGGAAAAAAAAAAAAAATTAGATATCATTAACAGTCCTTATTTTATTGTTAAAGCTTATAGGGACATATGTTTACTCCTAGAGAATTATTTATGGAGTGACCAAAACATAGGTTCATATAGTTTGGACTAATCAAAAATAGATTAATAATCTGCTATATGAGTGTTTTATTCTTATGGTCATTAGACAAAATTTGAGATTCACTCAGTTACAAACAATGTGGAAGATTGGTGGAATAAAAAAACAACAACTTCAAAGTTCCTACATTAATCCATTCAATGTCACCTTTCTGTCATTTTCTTTATTAAAACCACACTGTGGTCTGATGTGGTGATGATTGTTTTTAATGCCACAAACTAATAAAAACACCTAATCATGGCTTTTTGGTATTTAATGCCTTTCAACAGGCAACTAATGCTACATCAATTATCACCATTGGCAGTGTTTCCCAGTACGTATTTTGTAATACAAACATACAAAATTTCAATTGTACTTTAAAATTTTTATGCTAGTGCACTATAAAAAAAAATATACAAGTTAAAGTAACCCCCCACAAACAAAATTAAAATTACACACACACTTCTTTTTGCCGATAGTACATTCAAAGAAGATTGTATGTAAGTGTATACAATAACAACACATCATTTGAAATGATCCTTAAAATTTGAGAACCACTGAGTTAAAAATAGTTTCCAACTTAACAGGACAAGGTTCACACAAAAAAATTGCCAGGTCATAATATGCTGTTTATTGCACATATGTGAGCCGTGAGAACTAATCCAGTTTATCTACTTAGGAAAAAAAAAGTATCATTTTTTAACTGAACATTCAAGTCTTTATCAAACCAATTAAAGTTCAATCAATCAACAACACCATTACTCCAACATGGACATTTAACTATGTTTCTTCTTTATAATAGTCATTTACCACTCTAGCTACACAAAGATTAGACTTTAACCCAGTGACCTTTAATCTCACAAAATGTAGACAATGCCCATTAGGAAAGCTTTAAATAGCCCTTTGACCCAGCCTAGGCCTCTCAAAAAGCCTTCAGGCATCATGGCTTAAATTAGCAAGCGCACACACACACAAAAAAACTTGTGATACATAACGGCTGTTCCCCGTTGATAAAAGAAAATAAAAGTGCAATGAATGACATCTTGAACTACTATCCCACATCATTTTCTTATCTGATTCCTTTATCCTTTGATTAAATCAAAAATAGATTGCACTCCAAAATTAAGTGAATCTTGGCATGTTCATTGAAGACTCTCCTTTCCCACCAACAAGTCCAAAGCTCACTCACTCATTCAGTCTGACACACTAGCCAACAATGTTAAAGCACATTAACAGACACACTAGCCAACAATTTATTGATTGCGTCAATCTGTCAACTGACTGCTGGCATAAATGAACAATTTCTTATGGAAATTATTATTTAATTCGAGTATCTTTCCTTTTTTTTTTAAAATTAGACAACTTTTGCATACCCTTATACTATAAAAGTTTTGCTTTAAAAAAAAAAAAAATTGCCATGTTTGACTTGCATGTAAAGTAAGGGGTTAAAAAGGAGGGGGGGGGGAGGGGGGAATGAAATTTTGTGTATAAGTGTGACATGTAACCTGCTGTATGGCAAGATCAAACATGTATCTTCATGGCATGCAAGTTACTTATTGGGTTAAATAAAGGTTTAACAGAATAGCTGCACTTATCCCATTTCTCATTACATTTAAATATGTGAGCTTCAGTATATTTATACAAAAACTATTTAATATGCAGTGTCATACTGCAATGGCAATCAATTTTTAATACTTATCAATCTATAATGCAGAATGGAACACACAAAAAAAAATTACTGGACTGACCTTGACCCCCTTTTTGTTGGGCTCTCCTGTGAGATAGTTAACAAAAACTGTCCAGACATCTTCTTCACAGTTCAGCTCCTCCCCCCACATCTCCAGCAGTTCCTCTCTGGAAGACCGACTTTTGAGATAAAATAAATGGTAGTATTTCAAGTCATTGAAGGTTGCCGCACGCGAGTCTCCCCACCGACCGTTGGGGAACTCATCCCATTCGGAAGTGCGATACACGTAGCTGTTGGGTCGACACCGCCAGAAAATGGGTCGCACTTCCTCATCACATCTGGTGTGGTTCGCACTCTGTTTCCAGGGTAAGGGTCTGTGAACATTTTCTGACCACAAACCCAATCGTTTGAGGACCTCTTTGACCGCAACCTCCCGATTGAGGGTGTAGAAATGAAGGCCGTAGACACCAGCGTTGAGAAGTGTTTTGCACATCTCAACAGACTGGTCAATGCCATATTTTCTGATGGCCTCGTCATTGTCTTTGAATGGCTGAATGGCATTTAAGATTTCTGGTGGCACTTCAAGTTTTGACAGTTTGACAATGTGTCGCAGAGACTGGTAGGCCTTGTTGGATAGAAGAAGAACTTAAATTTTCACATTATGGTCTAAAGGCATTACATTTAAAAAAAATAAAAATGAATTTTTACATTTTGAGTACTGAAAAATTTTGCACCTCACATCCTCAACCAACATAGCTTATGGCAAGGTTCTTGTAATAATAGTAAAATCAGAAATGTAATCTTAATTTCTTTTTAAGTCTATGTGATGTAGAATAAGGGTGCAAATTAAGTCTGTGGAAGAACTCTAGCTTATGTCCACATTCTTTTTCAGTTTATTCTTTTTTTTTTGTACCCTTCCTGGGACAGATCTGAAGCAGTCTTAGAGATGAGACTTTTAAAGAAAATATATTTAAAGACCAACCTGAATTGGCAATATGCCAGGTATGATTGGGACATTAATCCCTATTTTCCTGCAATCTTTGATGTACTTCAGGAATGTTTCAGCTTTAAAGAATAGCTGTGTAATGATGAAATCAGCCCCTGCATCCACTTTCTCCTTCAAGTGTTGGAGATCTTGTTCATAAGACTTACATTCTGGGTGGCCAGTGGGATAACCTTAAAGAATAATTGAAGAAAAAATAATAATTTAACAAATCCTTATAATTTTGAACATGGAAAATGAATTTATGACCCAATTAATCAACTACAATTGTTTTAAATATAAGATAGAATATCTAGAATGAAGATATCCAACCATTGATTAAAGCATTTTAGGGACTCTAAGCCTATTTTCTCAACTGGAAACACCTTCATAAATCGACATTAAAAAATAAAAATCATGTCAATTATTTTGTTAAATAGCATGAAATATATGATTTTGCAGTCAGATGACTTTAATGAAATTTTCTTTAAGAAACTTGTAATCCACATCACAAAATCAACACTGACCTGCCACACAAATGACAAAGTGATCCCCAAACTCTTGTTTGATAAGTTTGACTAGATCAGTTGCATAATTGATTCCCCCTTTTGTCTCCTGCCACTCATGGGAACCTTCAGGGAGATCTGAGAAAAAGAAAGAAAAACAAACTTGAATTATTAAAACAACCATCTGTGGAATGGCAAGAAACAACTTGAATCTATGAATACAACATCCGTAGAATGTAAAGAATATAGTGATATCTAAGAAAATAACAATATCTATTTGCAAGCAGCCTACAGAATTTGTAATAGATTAAGATGTAGATATATACTTATAAAATCAGATATAATACATTTGAAACGTCATTCAAGAATAAATATTAAATCCTTTTTTTTATGTTTTGTCTTTACTATCTTTTGGTCGATGTTATTTTATTGCATCTTCATATAAGTGGGTAATTTAATCTGGCAAACATCAGATCCATCAAAATGAAGATTTTGCCAGAGATAGAGTACAAAGTATTTTTTTTTTAAATTGCATGTTAACCTGTAGAATGCAACTCCTAACAAAACCAAATCTAGAAGAAAAAAGGTATTGACACTTCATGATCTAAACAAAATTGTTGTTATGCTCACCTCTCCCAATGAGCAAAAAGTGTCCAGAGTTAACCCCAAACTAATTCTAAGCCCATCCCCCGCCTCTTGAGAATCCCCATTAATTTCCCAACCTCATAAACCTCACCTCCCCTAAGGGCCAAGATACTCCTTATACCCAGGTCCTTAGCTTTGTGAAGGTTCTCTTTGATTGTGTCAGTGGTCATCCCCACACATGTCATGTGAAGCATCGTCTCGATTCCACAGTAGTTGAGCATTATACCAGCAATACAGGTAGAGCTGGTTGGCTTCTCTGTATTTCCAGGATCACCTGCTGGGTGCCAGGTCATATCACAGAACAATGGCTTACCATCAGACAAGCGCTCAAACCTTTTAAAAAAAAAAATTTAAATGACAAAAAGCCCATATAAATATATTTATAGATACTGTTCATAAAAGTTTCTTTGTAAATTAAACATTTCTAAGACAATATTATATTTAAAAATTTAGTTACATTGGGTTCATTATTTTTGGTTTCCCTTTTTCCTTTAAAAAATTATCTACTAAAGCAATTTTTTTGTACATAGCGCCTTCTCTCAAGAAATATTTTTTCTAACATCTGCAATTAAAATGATGTGGAGATAATCTGAAACATTGTTTTGGGAGGGGGGGGGGGAGAGAGAAAGTAGGGGCTATCAAATATTAACTTTGTATTGTGAGCATTTTGTTCTTGTTTGAACAGAATTGATAACCAACCAAGAATACAAAGTTGGAAATGGAATGGTGGTTGACCAAGGAAACCAAAACCAAATATCACTCAACACTCACTGTCATGGACTCCACAGGAAAATAGAACAAGATGAAGACCACGGAGTATATGGAGGAAGGATCTTGGCGGAGAAAATACGAAAAACTGCAAGAAGTGGAACGAGTTGAAATAAATAGCTTAGATTAGAAGAGAGACCAATGGAAAGCATTTGTGAACTGCCTATGCACCATTATATAAGTGCAATAAGCCAAAGAAGAAGAAATAGTCACCTGCAGAAGAATTAACATTGACCCACAAAGTATGAAATAATGGTAATTTTAATCCACCATAATATGTACAGACCCCTTGTCATTTCTCAAAAAGAGAAAAGAAAACTTTTGTACAGCTCTGATAAAAGTGTTGTAAAAATAGATAATATAAATTTCCGTTTAATTTCTTTTAAATATGGTTACAAATAAAATGCAAATACCTGGAAATAAGATTAAGAGCACCACTCTGGGTGCGGGGTGGAAAAAACTCCAAGGAATAAAATGGAGTTTTTGAGAGCTCCCGTTTCCTGATTTTGTTTATGAGAGTAACATACTTCTTCCTCTGCAAAATCGGTGAAACCCCTGGTGAATTAAGTGGGGACAAAGATGTTGCAGACGAATCACTTGGGTTTCTAGATTTTGGGTTTGTGCCATTGTGAAATTCATTTGGCACATTGGCTTGACCGTTGGCAGATTGTTTGAATGCTGATTCATCATTCCTTGGATCTCTATTCTGGCCATCAGGTCCTGCCTCAGTTTCTGCAGTTGCCGCTTTAGGCATGTTTTTTTTTTTGATGTCTCTCCTTATGTAGTGCTATCAGAAATTACTATAAAGGAATAAAAATTATTGAAATAAAGTTATTGGATGGAAGCACATATTTATGACATTAAAAATTGACCTAATCATAAACTCGACATTATTAACAATATATTAAAAGAAATAATTAAAGATAAAGCACAACCAAAGTTATGATTAATTTATTAAATGGCCACTGATGTTTCTTTTTCAACTGGTCAAAAGTTATCACTCAATGTATTTAATATGTATGCATGTTAATTGAGTTAGATGTGCTAGATGTCCATACTGATAAGCTTCTGTTAAGTGTTAAGCTAAAAATTAAGCTCATACTGATAAGCTTATGTTAAGTGCTTAGCTTAAATAAATTAAGGATCTCATCAAATACAAAGCAGTTTTAAACTGTAATTCTCTACCTGCCAACAAGAGGTGTAAAGTCTTAGTGATAATAAGCTAGAGGCTATGAAAAAAAAAGTTGAAAAGAGGCAACTATTAACAATTTATTGTTGAGAATCACTGATGGACTATGATCTTTGTAAACACCCAGATTAGACTGATGATGAAAACAGAACGAATGCCATTGGGTTATTGACACAGCATTATGTTAGAGAAACAAACAAGGAATGATCCAAGTTGGTAGAAAGAATCTTGATTAAATTATTTATGCAATAATCCACTGAAATTACCACAAGGGGATTCCCAGCTGTATCTTATTTTCTGGAAATTTACATTGAAACTAAATGAGCCAGTTTGCCATTTTCATACAGAACTACTTATTCTTAATACAAAGACTAGACTAATTTACAAATATAAGTAATTTAAAAAAAATAAATTTCCATAATCAGTTACAGTGAATCAAAAACACAAAATACATAGTCAAAAATCTTTTACGTTAAAACTTATTTTTGACAGGGACAAAAACTAGTCCAAATGCAGCTCTTCAAAAAATCACTAAGTATTTTTACTCACACACAGGATCTGAGTAACATGAAGAGCCTCCCCCCCCCCCTTGCGCCCAAAATGGTTCTCAGTTGATAAGACGTTGAGAGGTACTTGAAACAAACAATGATGTGGAGTCAGCTAGCAACTTAAGACTCCATTAAAAACCAAAAAGAATTTTAATGAAAATGCTTAACATTTAAAAATTCATAGTTAATTATCATAACAAAAATTCAACTAAAAGCACTGCTATTATAAATTATAGTATAATAACTAATTCACTACAAAAATAAAATGTACACTTAGCAGTTGTTATTAAAGAAATATTATTCCAATGTTACTGAATATTAAGTAGTATTATACAAATATCTAATGAACTAGTGGACCAAATCACACAAGACTGTAAAAGCCATTGAAATTTAACTGTAGGAAATATTTACCTGGAAAAAAATTGTATGCAGAAAATCTGTAAATTCTTTTTTTAGCAATTCTTACAGTGTTTTCTTATGTCACCTTTTTTCAGAAAAAATATAGATTTTTCTTTTTTAAATTGGAGTATGTAGTCTGAGAAAAACCAATTTTCTAGGAAAGTACATGATTGACTTACATAAAACAATGTGCCAGGTAATTTGGGTTATTTTGAAAGTTTAATAACTTTTAGTTTATTTTTACCACAGCTAACAATTATTATTTTAATTTGTGATTTTTTTAAGGAAAAGGATTAAGAGAGGCATTGTAAGCTAAAGCTTGAGGATTTTAACACATCTCTTTGACTGAGTGCTCTCTGTGAATAAACACAAACATGTATTATTTTAAAAAAGGGCTTTAATTTAAATAATATTGTTGTGAAATAAAGATAGATACTCTTGTCAATGTCAAAGAGGAGGAAAGATCTACCGGGTACAACATTTCTGAAAAGAAATGGAAACATTTTTTAATAATAAGAGATAACCTTGACTTGAATAAATAAAATATTAAAGTCAGGCCAAGAATTCTCTAATTCCAAAATAAAAGCCCAAGACTGAGGTCACAACACTTTGAAAAAAATTAAGTTGCATAAACCCTGAAGCCACAGAACTTGAATGGCCTATTTTTAAACATTCCTAGCCAATGATGTTAATTTTCTTTACAGAATTCCTGATAAAATAAATGTGGGCCAGATATAATTAGTAAGTTTACTGACCTATGAGTATGATACCTATCAAGATTTCACATTCAACAAGAAATAAAAAAAGATAAGATAATACAGACCTGACCTAGCCTATTTAAATGATTACAAAAAAAGACAGAGTCACTCAGTCAGTAAGCTCATATATATATTGCTTTCAGACAGTGGTAAGATAAGGAGGGTGGAGGGAGACAGAAGGCAACCTGATCATTTTTAAAAAAGAAAAGAAGTGGCTTAGATGTGTTGATTAAAAAACTCTTCTTAAGGCCACTATATAACTTATTATAACTTAAGGAAATAACTTAATTTTAAGAAGAATGCATGCTATAACTAAGTCTTAGAAGCTGGAGTCATTTACAAAAAAAAAAAAAAATCCCCTGCCTATATTAATATTTTCAGTTTAATATTAATATATTAAAATGGTGGTAAGAAATAAATTAATTTTAAAAAAAATGCATGATAAAACTAAGTTTTAGAAGCTGGAGTAATTTAAAAAAAAAAAAAAAATCCCCTGCCTATATTAATATTTTCAGTTTAATATTAATATATTAAAATGGTGGTAAAAGACTTAATAGAAGTTTAAAGTGAGCTTTTTTTTTTTTAGTTTAGTAATAGTAATAGTATAGTTTTTCTTCAATGTGTCTATATTCAACTTTTTATTGTTATCATTATATTTATATATCAACCTTATTATGGCCCAACGAGCAAGTGCTTTCCAAGTGAATCTCTCATAAATCAAAAATATAATTATAAAGCCAAAGCTGGTATATTTCCCTTCCTTTGACATCAATTATTGAGTCAATATATTATATATGAATAATATTGTATGTGAATAACGAATATGCTTTTAAATTTTAAGTTTAAGGTCTAGTTTTTGCCCTATTGAATTTTGTAACCAAATTAAAAATTAGAAACAAATCTTTATAATGTGTAACACTTAACTTTTAAGTAATTTCACTTTCTTCCAAAATTCAATCAGTAGTGACGTTTATTAATATAACAATTTTTAAAAAATATAATAACAGGGCAACTAATTGAAATTGTGATGCAGTGTACTGTAACTGTAATTTGTAAACCGTAAACTTAGTAGTAAGCTAGACTTCTTAGTCACAATTTTATATTAAATTAACTTGACAAAAATATGACAACACAAAACTACTTATTTTTATGCTAGTAGTAAGTAGTATTATAAAATAATCTGAAACTAGCTAATTGGCATAAATTCGAAGCTGAAAGCTTAATAATGATATCCTTTCATATAGCTTTAAATATTTGTTTACTTATTTAAAAATCAGCTGATTGCCGGTGCGCAATAGCGATAACGAAAGTGGGGCAGTAGAATATGACTCATGACGCTCTGTTACCGTCTGGCGAATCAACCGACATACCGGTAGATATCGTGGAGAATACATAAAAATAATTGACAACATTTAATTATATAGCGGCTAGTATAATTAAAGCGAAATGGTCACCTAATCAAATGCTTCTGCTTTCGAATAAAGCAGGCATAGTAATATTACATACAAAAGCATTGAACTTTCGCTACCGCTACGGGAATGAAAATAAGAGATTATTTTCTTCGACTGGTCTGTTATTATCTGTGTAGTTTAGCGGTGCGAACTACAACTGAAGAGACCAAATATATTTTGAGGTTGAATTTATATAAGAGCCGAGCGAACCAATCACCAACGGCGTGCTAAGCATGAGATGGAGAGAGTTGCACGCAAGGCATAGTACGGTGCTCCAAGGTGTTACATATTATTTAAAGAGCAATCATTACTTTTAAATATAGATGGGCTAAGACTAAGTGTATAAAGGATAATAAATATTATTTTTCAAATCAATACTGCATCAATTAAACAAAAATATTTTTTTTTTCAATGGTGGTACTTGGCATTTTGAAGCCTAATTAAACTTATATAACTTATAATGAATTTTCGAAGTGGAACGATTCCCCCCCCCCCCCCTCTTTTTTTTTTTTACACCTGCCATGTCTTGATAGAATGTGTAGCGTGGGAAAGGACATTTGCTGGTTTTACGATTATTGATATTTATAAAATAATAAAATTTCTTAATTAAATTTTTTATTAAAAAAATTTGGTGAGTGACGTAAAAAGTGTGTATGTCTCATGAATTTTTTGTTGTTAGACTTGCTGAATTTATAAAACCTGAACATTTCATCAAACATTATTTAAAATCGATTGATTATTTGTAAAAATCTTTGGCCTACATTAAACTCTACGTCTTCTCCTCGCATATCAAAACTTATAAATTAATCTAAATCATGTTAATGATAATAATAGTAATAGGCATAGGCATGATATCTTTCGAATATCACAAGTCGTGACAAGTAACATCTAAGTTTTAATCATGAATTTTCGCATGACTTTTCAGAATCAAAGCAGATCGCGGAACAATTATTCAATATTTAAAATATAAAACATATTTTAAAAACATCGTATTCAAAGTTTATTGTGTTCCATTTGCCATTTGTAAATCTTTTGTTTCAGTGTTTTAATTATTATTTTTCATTGATGTATGCTTGCTTTAACAGAATTTTTTTTTCCTTTCATGAAAACGAGGGGATAATAATCTATTTAAAATTTGGCTTTCCTTGTGTACTATGTGGCAATGCATGTTAGCAGTAAACATCATGGCTGTACTATTTTCTTCTTATTGTAACGCTTTATTGTAGTTTCCTTTTCATTGGATCTTATGTAAAGTAGGAAACGTATCAGCTAACAACCGAGGACACAGAAGGTTAAGGATTTATTTTTAAAAATAAAATGATTGCTGCAAGTATAGCTTCAGCTATAGGAGCACCAGAAGGGGCGATAAAGCTAATTCTGACAATTTTTATAGGTAAGATTACTGACTAAAGAAACCAGCCAGAAAGAAACCTTTTAATTTTAAAGAAAAGTAGGTTTGATGGTTGGATTTTGGACTTGTTATTATTGGCCCTATCTATCTAGAAAATAAAGTCAAGATTGGACTAGTTTGTAATTTTTTTTCACCTTAGTACCATAGGCACTGTTATCTATATAATTATAATTATATAGTATACTTCCTACAGATATAGAAATAGATTAATGATTGAGTTTGAAAATAAAAATGATTTTAAGGGCAAGGAATATGCTTATTAATAGGTATACTGAAGTTGTGAAGCCATATATTATAGCCTATATTTTAAAATTGCCTGTACTTTTATCTTCAATTAAAAAATTTATCACTGTACTATGAATATGTCATGTTTCTTTTCACATCACCCGCTCCAGCATGTATAGATGATATTAATATAAGGTAAATTTTGAGTTAACGTTACGGGTTTTGCCAAGAGTTTCCTCACCCTAAGCGCAGTGACATCACATTGGGAATACAACACTGGACTGAGGGTGAATAGATCTATTCTTTGAAGGACCCGAACGATGTGTTATAACAAATTAACATTCCTGTTCTTTATTGAGCATTACTCGCATCACAAACGATAAGGTTAATATGAACTATATTGAAGTGAAATTCTCCATTAATTTGTATTAAAATTCAACTTACACGTTTCAAAAGAAAGGAAAAAAGAAACACATCCTTGCTGATACCCCAAGAGCCAACACCGGTGAAAAAAAGACGCCCGCAAAAATTGCTGTATTTTGATTAGTTGAAAATACCTGTATGTTGAAACTTAGGTAACAAAAGTAAGACTACTGCTTAAATTGCATTTGGAATGATCTAGGAACTGGAATACCAAAATACCCCAATTTAACCAAAAACTTAAAATAAGAAAACAATAACTTGCATTATGTAAATAGAAACATCGAAATCTTTTTAGTATAGCTCTATAGATGGCGCTGTAGACGGAAATGGAACTGGGGGAACCTCCCTGACCTATATATCCTGGAACACATCGTTGGCCTTACCGCTAACACAAAACCAGCCTTAATATAAATATGGATATGATGTGACATTAGCTATAGATCTAAGTCAGTGATGGGCAAATTGCGGCTAGCAACCCGCATGCGGCTCTTAAGCGACCAGATTGCAACTCGGCCTATCAGCCACAAATCGGTTTTGATTCCGAAAAACATGGTTCTTGAAAAGAAATTTGGCTCTCAAAAAATGTTATGTCGTCCTGCTGCTGATTTTTGGCTCTTTGCGACTGAGTTTGCCGATCACTGGTCTAAGTAACCGGGTACCTGCCTCACTGTCTAACCTGATTCATTTGGTCATGGATTTGGATAATTTTTCACTATTGAAATTTTTATATATAGACAATAAAATAATTCAATTACAATTTAAATCAAAATATTTGAAAAAGAGATTTTGCAGTTTATTAATTATAATGAGCAATATGATAAGTTTTAGTCTGGTAATAATTATTCATTATGCTCTGATTGAAGCTAAGGCCTTGGTTGTTCTCCGTACAGGCAACATGACCATTACTCTTTCAGACAAATTTCTCCGGTGGTGGGGCATTTCAGATGTTTGGGTGGACTGTGCCATTGGTGAAGGGTGGGTGGTCTACCCTCGGGTGGCATTTTGGCCTTAATGCAGAGCTTTTTTTAATATTGGTGACCAAGTACATTGCGCGAATCAAAAGTGGTTCAACCCCTCCACAGAAATTTTTTTATAAATTTAACGTTTAAAGGGGGGCAGTTTGACATAGACCTAACAATCAATGTTTCTGACAGAAAATTTGATCCAGGGAGGAGTCATTTTAGGCGTAAGTGGGGGGGGGGGGCACATCTATTAGCTTGAAATTTAGGCATGGAGTGATTTTCATTGTTCACATTTTTCTTTCTGGGGGTTGGGCACTTGATTTCCTGGGAGAGATGCCTGAAAGAAACACTAAACATGACATAAGTTGTAGGGGCCCATAGCCTCTAACCAGGCCCTGTGCCTAAAAGTATGTCTGCCACATATATAATATATGGTCAATATAGGCGATGAATAAATCACTATTGTAACCTGAATTCATGTCATTTGTATTTGTAATTTTCCTTGGCTCAACAGTGTCACAACAATTCTTCTACAGACTTTTACCATGGTTCAACAGTGTCACAACAATTCTTCTACAGACTTTTCATATACAACATTTTTTTCACCGCTATGTGGTCTGCCATGACACTTAGTCTACAACCTGTGGTCTGCTCCACATTTGCCCTGGTTTACAGTGTAAACATTACTGTTGGCATACCGTATTGTAGACAAATCGTCAGTAGATTAAATGTGTTGACGAAATGCCGCAGAGGAATATCTGATGATGAATTGTTGCAGAACCATCAAGAACACCACCTGCTAACAATACCAAGGGGACACTACCAACTATGCTTTGTGCATATGGGATCATCTCTCCTTTTTGATTACTGATGCCACCAAAGGTGCTCATGTCTGCATTGTCTAATATGACAGAGGCATAATAGCATGTCTGTGCAGGACCCCCAACTCCAGTAATTGACCGCTGGCTGCTAATTACATATTAACCTTCACCTCATAAAATGACTGATAACAAATGAGTCTAATTGCTATTCATATATTTATTTGAAGTGGGAATGAACTGTACTTCATAAAGCAATTAATTATATTTTAAAATGCATTTTAAATTTATGCTGACATATTTTTATGTTAATTGTGCGTGAATCTATGTTCATATTACATAGCATAATTTCAAATTTGTCTTGTCTCAAAATTAGGATACCCACTAGCTTTGATACACAGAATCCCAGCGCTCTACCAGGCACCACCAGTGTTAAAACACATCCTTTTCACACTTGAAGGCTTGACCCTATGTTACTACAATTTTGGTAAGTTGTTAGTAGCAGTATAGACATTAATTTATGTATTTAATAGTCTTAATTGTGAAAGCGGACACAGCTTCATACTTGGGGTCCTTTTCAAATTTTCCCACTAACAGATGTGATAATTTAAAATCTTTTTAAAATTGACAATAAAATGTTCTATTTTGGTCAGTTTCTGGGTGGTAAGGTATTTAGATTATTGTTACTAAGAGAAGAGACATTGCTTTTCAGTGGACCAATAATTGGATTTGTGAATTTAGCATATGAGTAAAAGGGAAAGGCAGATAGAACTACTGGGAGGAAAAGTAAATATTAAATCATTTCTGTTCTGAAGTGTTCTGAAATTTCAAAATTTCTGCATTCAATTATCTCCAAAGAGGTTAAATACTTCGTATTTTCTTCACCGTAGGATTATTTGGATTGTACATTGTTAACATTGACAAAAAAACACACTTTTTTCCCCAGGTGTTGACACAGTACACACATGGCTGAATATAACTATCACCTACCTAGTGTTATTCTTCTGTGGAGGATCCAAGTTTTCCGTTATTTTTATTTTTGTCTTCAACACTGTGAGTATGTTTTATCTAGTCTTTTATTTAAAAAACAAAGGAAGCTGATTAGTATACTAATTTTAGAATTATTAAAAAAAGAGGATCCTCTAGATCAAGGGTCTCAAATTCGCGGCCATTTGCGGCCTGCATGACAATATTTTGTGGCCAGCTACATGACAGCAAAGTTTAGTGTTAATGCAGCCCACGAGTTTTCCCCAATCTCATATCTACAATGTGACCCTCCCGGACAGTTTCAGTCGAATCTTACCGAATAGTCTGATTTTTATTATGTTTATATAGATTTGGACTTTGATTATAATAGTAAAACCGTTTTAAAATCGGACTAAATTTTTTTAATTATATAGCATATTATGAGAAAAAGATGGCCGAAATGCGGTTTTGAGAAAATTTAAAAAGTCAGTGGGTAATAGTATACACAACCATAATTGTATAAACCGTAGCAAACTGACACTGTATCAACGAATCTCACGTGAAATTGCTGATACTGTTTACGAGTGAGGGAAATTCCAAGCCTGTCGGCTTGGTCACTTTCAATATAGGGTTAGTCAAAAAGGCCTTTTGTACGATAAAAAAAATCAAAATTCATTTTCCCTACAATAGCATCTTCCTTTGCATCAATAATTTATAAATATTGTCTGCTCCTGCTGACTGCTTGAACACATTTTAGCATTTAAAGCCTTCATAGAGAAGGATGAGGTGGTTGTTCCTGTACTAACTGATCCCAAATGGCTCATGGGCTTGGCTTTTTTGTTGACAATACATAGTAGCTGAATGTACTCAACCACAAGCTACAAGACCAGAAGTAGCTTGTGAGTGTTGCCAATGACAATGTCAGGGGATTCTGCACAAAACTTGTGTTATGGTTCTTAGTTAAACCTCTACTATTTCCCAACAAGCAAAGTACTCATGGACTCATGCACTCCATTCAGAAGTAAGTATTCTGATGCCATTGCAAAGCTACAGGAAGAATTTGATCACGTTTGCAGACTTTCACTTCAAATGGAGCTGATTGATCATCATTGCAATTCTAAGTTCAGGGAGGTGAATGGAAAAACAGACAAGCATGGACAATTTATGAGAGCAGTGCCCTCCACCTTTCCTGAGATTTCCAGGTTGTTCAAGCGAATGATGTGCCTTTTTTGAGAGTACCAATCTGTGTGAAAAGCTCTTTTTCACTATGAACTTTAACAAGTCAAAGTTCAGGGCCAAACTGACTGATGAGCATCTTTAAGCTATTCTGAGGATCTCAGCTGCTTTCTCACTCAGCTGAGTAAGAAGAAGCTCTGCCAGTTCTCTGACAACAAGGAGTAGGATGAAGAAAGTGAAGCCAAGTTCTTGAGAACCCTTAATGTTTTTATTTGTTATTAACCCTTTACTGGGCAAAATGGCCAAAAACGTCTTTAGTACTGAACGGGCAAAACGTCCAAAAGCGTCTGTGACAACATAGAGTTGTAAACTCATGACCTCCGAGTCTTTGCGCGCCTTCCTATTATTTACATCCGGTTTTTCCGATAGCTGGATGAAGTGGGCGCCAGTTACAAGTATTTAATCGATTGTTTGGGGGTAGTTTTAGGGGTTTAAACAAAATATTTTTTTCGAAGTGGATTTTGCCGATTATTCAAGTGATAGCGGAGATTTCGCTGAATTCAATTTGACATTGAAGTGCTCGAATTGGCTGTAAATTGGAACTAGATATTAATATTATTATTAATATTAGTGAAATCAGCGTAGTAAGCAGCATTGAATTTTACAAACTTTGATTTTGTGGCAGTGTTTGTAAATAGTGAATAGATGACTCACAATCACAAACAATATGTTGTTTTTTGCAAATATTTGTGTTCATATGAGGATTAATGGCAACATGTGAGTAAATTTATAAATCTGCATTCATTTTCCTTTATTTTGCTTTTTATTTCACAAAAATTTGTTAACACCTTAGATTTGATTTTTTTAATAATGTAACCCTAAATCTTACTAAAAAACTGGAGGATTAGTGCCCGTTCAGGACTAGCAAGAGGAAGTACCACTGCCCTGTAAAGGGGTAATAAAGGTTGAGCAGATTGTAACAGTTGTACTTTATTATTGAATTTGTAATCGCTTTTTTGTGGAATACTTGATGTGGCCCAGTCTCACTCAGGCCCTACCTTCTGCGGCGCCCAGATAATTTGAGTTTGAGACCCCTGCTCTAGATGCTGGAAGCAAGAACTGGAACATTTCTTTTTATCTGTCATATTTTGAACTCATGAAGTATCTAAAAAAAAAGATACTTTATTTTTTTTAATGAAAAAAATAATCTTTTCTTCCCTTTAGGGTGCATAGCTGAAGGGTTTAAAGTATTATTAATATACATGTTTGTTTGGTCACTGCGATATTTTTTCTATTAATAATAATTTTCATGTGCTTCAAGAACCTTGTGAATGTTTTTTCAACACTAAAAAAACCCCACCATATTCATTGCCAAACCAAATTCTTATTCATATCTTTTGCTTTAAATTTAGCTTGTCAAAGTGCCGTCAGTTTATTTTCTTATTTTCTATTTATTTTCAGTGCTATCTTATCCTAGGATACTATTCCACAATATCTTTTCAAGAATTTGGGATTTCCTGGACCATGCCTCATTGTGTCCTGACCCTGCGGTTGACAGCAGTGGCCATTGATTATTATGATGGAAAGAAGGTAGATAAATCATGATACACTCACAAAAGATTTTACTGGAGTGCTTGTAAACAAATTTAACAAAGGGCTCTACTGAAATTTCTGAGTTTCTGACAATCTTTATACAGTCACAAAGGACAGGCAGTCTTGTTATGGTCTGTCAGTTGAGCTGTGTTATCTTAGGTTTTTCTGCTGAAGGGTAAAGAAAGGGTTTGTTTGGGAGGCTGTTCATAGGCAAGTTTTTTTGTTATGACACATAAAGTGAGGACATCACAATAGTTTTGTAATGGAAAGAATAAGAAGAGGAATTAATGATGTAGAATGATTGTGTTTGTTTTCAAGTTTTTGTGCACTGCCTTGTCAGAATATGTTGTAAATAAAATTAAGTAAAATGTTATTAGTTCAGTCGCACTGATTCCCTTGGATTTGCCTGCGGGTTGCGACCCCTTTGGGGGTCTAACGACCCTTTCACAGGGATTGGCTAAGACCATTGGAAAACACATATACTCAACAGTTATGAAGTAGCAAGAAAAATAATTTTGTTGTTGGGGGTCACCACAGCATGAGGATCTGTATTAAAGGGTTGCAACAAAAGGAAAGTTGAGAACCTCTGCTTTAGACTAAACAATTGACAGGAAATCTTCTAGACTACATTGCAACAGAAACAATTTCTTCTCATATCTTCCTTAATTTAGCCCTTTTTCAAAAATACCTAGCACAAATATTTGTGTATTAAAGATCAAAGCTTCAATTTCAGAAACTGTTGGTTTTTTTTTTACCTCAACTCCATTATGTTGTCTGACAATGCAATGCTTTTGCCATGGCCGATGAATGCAAATGATAATAAAGTCATTTAATTTTTTACCTTTTGTTAAAATATTATGGAGAGAATCACAGCACTGACTGTAGCCTGCTTTTGAAATAAGACTAGTTGTCTAACACAATACCATGAGATGTTGGCTGATTGTTGCCTCTTATTCCATCAAGTTCTTATCATTTCACTTTTTGTCATCAACTTATGTAACAGAGTAAAGAGAGTGAGAAAACTGCTGTCAGTGACTCAGCCCTCCCACAAAGGCCTGGTTACCTAGAAATGTTGGGACACAGTTTTTTCTTTGGTGGTGTCCTGGTTGGACCACAGGTAGGATTACAATTTCATTTGGTAATAAATTGTAAAAAAAAATCACAGATTTTTTTCAGAAAAAATTCACCAGGTATGTATGCATGGCTGTAAGGCTGTGTTCAATAGGCATGCCAAATAAAATTCACAGAAGTCAGCACTAAATGCGATTCTCATATAAAATGCATTGCTGGAATGCATGTTTTATCAAGTAAGTTTAGCTCACTCATTGCCCCTGCCATTTTTTGGTGGGTTACTTCAAGTAGAAAATAAAGTTTTAAACCATTTTTAGGTCTCTTTTCACCCAGACCTGAAAGGAAGAGAGACTGACTTTTTTTTAAATAGAAAAATAATAATTAAATTGTATGTGTATCACACACAAGAAACTGAGAATGAGAATGTTAATATTGGTCAAAGGAAATGATGCATTTAAAAGAAGTTAGTTTAACAGTTCAGAATGTAATGAAAACCATGAGGTAATAAATTGACATTTCTGTTTCAGTTTTCCATGAAACGATATTTAAAGTTTGTGAATGGAGACTTTGCTGATAAACAAACGGGCCTAGCCCCAGACAGGTATGTGATGACAATGAACTGAACACTGTTTTAAATGTATTTAATTATGTCGATTACTGCATTAAACTAATATATTTCTGGGAGTTGGGTTAAGTTACTCTCGACCCTTGGCATTTTTTTGCTTTCTTCATGGAAAGAAAAACAAAACATTATCTTAATTAAATGTTTCTTTATTTTGTTTTGTAGCAAAAATGAGCACAAAGGATTTTTAAATTAAAATATTTTTTTAAAATTATTAATTTTAACTAAAAATTTATTAATTTTAATTAAAAAATTATTAGTTATTTATTTTAGTTAAAAACATTAATTAATCATTTTAATTAAAAATTTGTTAATTTTTTTTAAAGCATAAGTGCAAGTCTCAAGAGAATGGCTGGTGGTATGATGTACCTAATCATGTTCCAAGCACTTGCCTTGTACATCCCAGACGATTATATTACATCTCAAGCTTTTGATGTAAGTAGCTCTGGATTTAGCTATGTTATTAGAACCAACCTGAGCTGTTGAAATGCTAATGTTAACACTCTGTAATTTGAGTTGAGACATGGCAAACAAATGATTGAGAAACAGAGCAGAAATCATCCTCATTCTCAACACAGAAATGACAGCCAAAAAAAGTATTTCAAGGTGAATTGTATCATTAATAATTTTTTTTGTGTGGAAAGATCACTCAGGAGTGGGATTTTATTATGTATTTATTTGCAGACATAATTTCGGTTGTAACCTTGTCACCTAGATCCTTGTGCTCCCTCTAGTGTTATAGCTAACAGTGGTGGCAGATAGGCATAACTAATAAATTTGTTAACAATAATTAACCAGAATAATTAAAATATATTTTGTTAACCCTCACAAAAGCTGAAATGATTTTTTGATGCAGTCACAGCTTTTGCTTACTAAAAATAAATCACATTATGAAATTTAGCAACTGAAATGTTTTTCTTTTACTGGTGCTTTATTAAATTCATCTCCAGAATCTTGGACTGATGACCAAGTGTGCCTTAATATTACTGTGGGGAAAGAATGCGTTACACAAATATGTTGGAGTTTGGTTGATCCAGGTGAGGTGTTACCTAAGTAGTTGAACGCGGCAGCAGTGTCAGTATTGAGATAAGTAAGACTTCCTAGTCCCACCAAATTCCAGGGAAGTGTGCACCTGACATTGATGCTTGACACCTCTGTCCCCAGGTGGTTTCATTGCTGGTTTAACCAGCTAGCTTAAGGGCTGTTTGTCTCTGAGTCTCTACTTGGTCTATTTGTAAACAAGAAAAGTTATGTTTAGAAGAATAGATTTAGGTGTGTTTTTGCTGTTATGCCAAGATGTGGTAGTATTTTAAAGGTTAAAAAAATAAACACCACTTAATGTAACAAATGATATTTGCCAGTTTATATTTAAAGGCGGTAATGGTCTACTCATTTTACAGTGAATGAAAAGAAACATATCTTAATCAGGGTATACAACTAAAAATAGCTTTTGACATTGTGAATGTGTTAATAGCTGCTGGCATATTTATGCAATATCTTTTAATCCATACAGGAGGGCAGTATCATAATGACAGGCATGAGCTACAATGGTAAAGAGAACGGTGTAAAGAAATGGGATGGCTGTACTAACATCAAGGTCTGGCAGTTAGAGTCTGGGGAGTCTTTCTCTGACTTTATACAGGCTTTCAACGTCAACACGAACCAGTGGATGGCTAAGTGAGTGCTTCTCCCTTTTTTTGCTGATGTTTGCAGTACTTAAATTTGATCAATTTAACAACTAGACCTCAAACCAGAACTCAAACAGTTTTTGGGAGAGGGTTTTTTTTTTGCTATTTAAAAAAGAGCTCCTCTCATCTTTCATTGTTTCATTACAAACTCGGGCTTGTTGTGGTAATTGTTTTTTTAACCCTTTGACATCCAGGTACATATACAAACGACTACGTTTCCTTGGTAGTAAAATCTTATCTCAGCTGATCACATTGTTCTACCTGGCTCTCTGGCATGGCCTGCAGTCTGGCTATTACATGTGCTTCTTCCTGGAGCTTGTTGAAACCAATGCTGAGACACAGGTGAGGTGCTTGTCCAATCTCTCAAATGCTTCAGTATGGAACAAGAAACAGTTCTAGAATGACATTAGCAAGTGCCTCCGTTACAAGGTTTTTATTTATTGCCATGAGGTTCTTACGATTTAATAATGGGTTTGTGGCCCTAAAGTCCATAACTTTGAGTGCATCTATCAATTAATGCTAGTAATGTTATGACACTAATGCTATATTGCATTTTACCAGTCTTTAGTTGGAAAATATATTTCTTTTTGTTTCACCTGATAGCCATTAACCTCTTGTAACCACTTCCTACGTTTAAGCTATTCTCCTGTTCTTGATCTTGGCTTAAAACTGATGCCACCAGTCCTGATGTCGGTAACACTAATACAGACCTGAAACATTTTGCCGTTTAACTCTTTCACTATTCATTCCTGCTCAACAATCTAGGTTATATGGGTGCTGAAAAACTACATCCCAAAGACCAAACTGACAGATCTGTTTATACTGCGTCTGTTAGGCCGCTTACTAAGGAAGGTCCTCCTTATGTTCCTCTGGTCATATGCCCTGGTCAGCTTCGTCTTGTTAGATTACTACAAATGGAACCATGTAAGTATTTATTTTTTTCACCCTCTTGTTGTTACAACATTAAAAGAAAGATTTTGAGCTTATTAAATTCTGAAGACGCAATGACTTTTGCTGTCTCAGTGGTTAAAAAAAAAATGTCCATTTTTAACTAATTTAACTAATTCCAATTTTTAAGAGACATCGTTATGTCTTTAAGAGAAGAAATAATGCACATAACTTAGGAAGTAACAATGGGACATTGTGATATAAGGCCACCAATATAAAACACCAATCAATGATTGATATTGATATAAACATGTTTCCAAATTGGTCTGTGCTATGTTTAAATGTGTAAGTTACTTAACAAGAAGCTTCATTTCCAGGTCTACACATCAGTTTACTACATTGGTCATGTGGCCTGCATTCTTGTTATGTTTGGAGGGTTTTTTCTTAAAAGTTTGTCCAAGCCCAAAAGGGAAGTCAATGGTATACACCCAGAGAAGGCAGATTAAAGTAAGTCATTAGCATGTAAATAATACGTACACATGTTGATTGGTTTATTGCGTGTGCTCGCTAATTGGTCTTCTGTTTCTAAATTAGAAATTATTAGTTTAAGAACTTCGGAATTGTGCCTTCAATGAACAATATGAAATTGCCTGAATATACATACTGCCATTTGTTTAACGGGGACAGCAAACTGGAGTTCTTTCCTGTTTAATACAATTTTCATGCCTCACTTGTATAGACTTAGTAGCCAACTGTGATTAAAGTGCTCATGTATTAGACTAGAGCCAATATATTTTTAAACATGTAGGAATATTGGTAAATGACATAATAATTTATTAAAGGGGTTTAGTTTCAATTGCATTCCATACGATCGGTTTGTTTTCAATTGCATCCCATACGATGGGTTTGTTTTCAACTGCATCCCATAAGATGGGTTTAGTTGATGGCTAATTTGTATTTATTTCTAACTATTGCAGGTCCAAGTGACAAGTTGGAAGTATTTGAACGTTTTCTTTCTTTTGTTTTTGTGTGGCACAAACGTAATTTTTATTTTCCTTCTTCTATATTTAAAGTTGATCGTAAATGATAAATGTAAATTTTTTTTTCTCCCAAATTTGTACCAGCCTTGCTGGAAGCTGTTTTTTTTTTGTGTTACAAAACAAAAGTATGTGAAAGTTTTGTCAGAATGGTTTGTGTTTGGAACGGTTTAGTTGCTATTTATTTGATACCTGGTTATGTCAGTTTAAAGGGTAACAGCACTGCTGAAAATATTTGGGGGAAAGGTGGGGGGGATTTTCTCCCTTATTAGTTTCTTTGTCAAAAAGTTGAATAATCCTTATTACAATTTTTAACTTCACATGAGTGTAAATTACAAGTTCTAATACTGGAAACCAAAGTCCACCGAGAAATCTTGAGGAAAACAAAAAGGATGGTGGGGGAAACAGCCTTTGTATGAATGCCACCTCATTTGATTATTTTGTTTAAATTATTAAAATTTCTATATCATATATTAGATTATAAATTCTTGAGTAAGAAATGTTAACAAGCTCTATAAGAAATAATTATTGCATTTACCATAACAAGCCTCTATCAAATATTGTAATTTTAAAATGCCTTTTTTTAAAAAAAATAGATTTTCTTCTAGGTGTTGGGTATGCTATTTATTATATTTGTGTTAAATTAGATGGGCTTTATTTGAATTACATTGCCAGAGAAGTTTTTTTTTTTTTTTTTTTTTTTTTTTTTTTTGTAAAACAAGTTCAGAAAGGGACTATTTGTGCCTTTTTCCACTGTTGATGAATGCACTTTTTTTTACTTAAAAAAATTGGAAATTGTCTCATCATGAATCTTATTCTTATAGTGGGGGGAATAGGTGAAATATTTTAACTAAAGATATTAGGTGTAAGAAAATTTCTCTGTTAACATTTTACCTCAGCATGTTGGGCTATTTTCATTCTAGGTTTTATTTTCATTAATTAATAGGCAACTGACTTAATAATTTTTTTAAATCAGTTTATTTCGGAGCCAACATCCCAGCTCGGTTTTCTTATGTTTTTAGAAGTTGTGAATTTGCTAGGAGCGTATTGAAAAGTCTATGTATTGTAAATTTTTTCCAAAATGTCTTTATATTTTAATCTTAGCATGCACCAATGATTAATAGAGAAAATGTCCGGAAAGCTTGCATTCTTTAAAAAAAAAAAAAAAAAAGAAAGAAAAAGCAACAGTTCTGCTAAAACAAAAAGTAATATGTCGAGCATGCTTTGCTTGCTTAAAAATTTTTTCCAAAAAGTCTTTATATTTTAATCTTAGCAAGCACCAATGATTAATAGAAAAAAAGTCCGGAAAGCTTGCATTCTTTAAAAAAAAAAAAAAAAAGAAAGAAAAAGCAACAGTTCTGCTAAAACAAAAAGTAATATGTCGAGCATGCTTTGCTTGCTTAATGAGATAAATTAAATATTAAATTAAAATTGTTCAGTTTGATTTATATGCTTTGATGTCTGAAAATGAGCTGGAGAAATAGAGGCTGACTAAGACAGTTACAGTGTTGATTGAGGAACCCAGGGACCGACTGTGACAGTTAATGCAGTGTTGGTTCAGGAATATATTACGAATCCAGAGCCTGACTATGACAGTCAGTGTAGTGTTGATTGAGCAATGGCAACAGCAAACTGTGATGCTTTACGTGTTGTGCATGTTAGACAAATTTATGCCTAATAATTTTGTTGTTGATGTCTTTAAAAAACATAAACTCATTAAGTTAAGAGGCTTTTGAAAACGGTTATAAGAACTGCACTTTAACTTGTTAATGGATGTAGAATTTTCTGCTTTAAAAATAAACCTTTCTGGCATATCCTTTTAAAAAAAAAAAAAATATTTTGAATTTTTTGTAAAAAGAATTGTTACAGTTGAATGAGTTTACAGGTCCAACTTTTTAAAAAAAAATTTATTTCTACAATACATTTTGAAACTCTTATAATTTAATTGATATCATTTATTTTATTTCCAATATCTTTTGGTTTCCATTGAAATGATTTTCCGTTCAGTTTCTCTTAGCTTCAGAGAAATGACTGCTATTTTTGATACACTGTTTATAAGATGCTGTTTTAAATTCAATTAAATTCAAATGAACTATGGCAAACAATTCTGTGTTTTCCATCTGATCAGCCTATATTCAGAACTAGGCCACTGTGCTTTCCTCAACATTATTTTTACCAGTAATTTATTTAAAATAAATATTTTGTAAGTGGAAATTAATATACTTTAATTAAAATACTAATACCCCAAAAAACGCTACTTGTTTAGGGTGTAATTTTCAAGAGGTTCTTTTAACATTCCACATTGAGGAACGCGTTATCACTCCAAGACAAACATCAAAATAAGTTATAATGCAGGGCTTCTTAACGATTTTGCATCGCCGCACCCCCTCTTGATTTCAAAGCATATCATGATAATAAATGCTAATAAAAATGCAATCGAACCTGATTATCTGGGTCTTGCCACACATCATGACACTGCCTCCCTCACATCCAGGGGGTGCAGGCACCCCTGGCTAAGAAACCCTGTTGTAATGTAAAAATTATCTTTACACATATATTCAATATAATTACATAACATAAAATAATTAATTTCTTTTTTAAAAAAATAAATTATTTAAGCTTAATTATGCTGTGGCGTTTGGTTGTTATTGTATTTCTTTTTAAATTTATCGGCATGAAGTAAAACCAGTTTTGTAACTGAAAAAGAATTGTTTTTCGTTTGGTCTTTAATGTTATCTGAGCGTCAATTCGTTAGTTACAATGGACTAACCAAAGGATGTTTCAATTAGTTTTGTTTTTAATTTATCTTCTGTATATTGGTGGTTGTTTTTTTTTGGGGGGGGATGGCCTATACTCAACAATAATTTTTTATTTTTTGAAGTTTGTACTTAAGTGACATTTTAAAGGGGATCAATCAAACTGAGTTAACTTTATTTTTGTTTAGAACGCCTTTATGATCAACACATTCATTCTCTCATTGTGTGCTATATAAGTTGCTGACAGCATCTGCTATTGAAACAACAACAAAGCTGTAAGCTGTGCTACATTTGTTTGAGCTAAGTGCAATGCTTGCTTTAAAAATGCTTTGTAATTAAAGTTCAAGAATCTACCCAACACTTTACGATGTAACCACCTTGAGCACACCATTTATAAGGGCACAATGTTTCCACGGTTTCTTTTTTGGATTAGTCACAGACACCTAAACAAAATATTAATTATTTTTTTTATAATTAAAACCTGTATAATGTAATAGTTTGGCCATTGAATTGGATGGGATTGATTTAGTTTTGTTGTAGTAAATTTGTAATGGCTTTAAGTAGGTCTCTCCACTTAAACTGACATAATGTCAATACCAAATTTATTGCTGGTCCCCTTAGAGCGGCACCCAATATCTTATAGCTGGAGTTCCCAAACTTTTTGACTCTGTGAGCCCTTTAAGAATCAATTTCAATCTAAGGTCTATGCTATGTCTTACAAGTTGCATTCAATTTTTATTTACTTTATTTCCTGGAGCGGTGGCGGAGCCACTAAGAAGTGCACATTGAGCCCTGGGGTCTCCACAGAGCACATTCTGGGAACCACTAGGTTGTAGTAAAAAAAACCTGAAAGTGAAAGGTACACAAAAAAAAAAAAAAAAGCAATCTCTAAGTGATTTTAGTTTTAAACTGCTTACGGTTATTTTGTTTGTTTGATCCAGCCGATTTTTATGTCCATCAATTATCTCCAAAGCCTTGTTGTGTATTGACAGCTGATCCCTAGTTTTAGGGATAAAGTGTTAAAAATATTCGAAAAGCCAAAGAATAAAGACTGTATTGTACTAAATTGTACACAAGTGAAAAAATTACTGCCATAAAAAAACAACTATTATTCTTGTTAATTCTGTTCTGGAATTAGGTTTTATGATTTTCTGAAGTTTCTATAAATCATAGAGGTAACTGAGTTAATTTTTAAACAAAATAATTTTTCTACACTTTTTATTATGGCTTAAATATTTTTTTTTGGCACAGAACATTTTATTTCAACAACCTTACATATACGAAAATACGTTCACACAAGCTGGCTAACATAGTTCACTAGACGAATGTCTTCTTAGGAAAAACAATTCTGTAAAGCCAATCACATTCAGAAGGTTTTTTGTTTTTTAATATTCTTTTTAAAAAATATTATTATTTTTAACACAAGATTTAAATTTAACAAAAAATCCACAAAAAAAGCAAAAATAAAACTTGCCAATCTATTTTTTAAAAAGAGTTTCTATATACATGGTACTAAATTATAATTTTTGAAAAAAAGATGTCTTCCAGTTGAATTGTCTTGCCCAAGGGTCACTCTATAAAATGCATACCACAATGCTTCTCATTCATTATTCTTGTCATGCCAATTGGTGCAAGTTTTAATCCCACTTGACTTAACTCTCTGTTAAATGATTTAAATTTGTTGGTATTTTTATCATGTCAATATTTACATTTGATGCTATTTGATGTTTTAAACAGACTTCTTAATTTTTTTATTTTTTTTTCAAAATATTTTTTTTTATATCACCTGCAACAATGTTTAATCAAAAATACACCTTTTCCCCCCAAACATTTGAGACTCTCTTTCATTACATTTATCAAAAGAGTCTTCAAAAAAAGAGAGAAATTGTATGAATTTATTGTTAAATAATGAGAAGAGCAGCTATCCTTGGTGTGAATATATTATCTCCAATTTCTTGTGTTCATTTTAACACATGAGTAGAATAGTTATCAACATTGTGTTTTAAAAACAAAATTTATGAGAGTATACTTTTTTATGCACACTATGAATTACTCCAGACCCCTGGGATCTTGAGTGGCACAGTTTAAATGAAAATAACATTGGTTTCCACTTCTTTTGCAAAGGAAAGCTGAAAGTTTTTTTTTTTTTTTTTTTTTTTTGGGGGGGGGGGGGGGGTGAGGTATGTTGTTTTTTTAACTTGAGAATCTGATCTCAAATTTAACAAAAAAAAGTTTTAACTCACTTTAAATAACCCACACTTACAAAGTATACTTAAATTATAACTAAAATTGATTAAAATTAAAAAGTGGTAACTTTTTTTCAAATAAGTTTATGCCCCTTTGTAGTGCAGATAAAATATAAAGAAGAAAAGTTTTTGCATCTATTTCATTGAATTCTTCATGTAGTGTTGTAGACATAAATAGAGAATTATCACACACTCTCAGATTAATAATTCTGTTAACACATTGAGTGAATTAATATTAATTTATTTTTTAGATTTTCAGTTATTTAAGTGGATTTTTTAGATAATGATTTATAATTCTAGTCATAGGACAAAAGTAAACAGGCGCATTATTTTAATCTCAAGACTGTTTACAACAGCTTTGTTTTGTTTTTGATTTGAATCATTCACATAATACCATGAATTTTATTTTTAAAATTTTGTGCAAAGATAAATATGAAACTATATCTGTTTATTTGCATTGAATAATGGTTTATTATAAATACTGAGTTTTCGTGAGCTTCTGCACATCCATGACACCATACTTCAGGGTTTACTGCTCATTCCTTCT